ATGCAGTGTGGTAGTGACTAACCAGGGCAGGTGAGCTGGGGCCTACAAGAGGACCAGCCCCTTCTGCTGGCCCCGGGGACAGGACCCTCAGCTTCAGCGAGAGCTTCCCAAACCAGGGAGACTGGGGACTCGTGGAACCAGTCCAGGCTCAGCCATGCCAAAGATCCTTCTGTGACCTTTGGCAGGCCCCAGCCCACTCTGAGCCTCAGTTTCCTCATCTGTGATGAGCATGAGGCAGGCCCCACCTCTCAGGGTTGTGGGAGGGAGGGCAGCGCTGGTGGGTGTGCGGCTGCCTGCCTGGGTGCCCAGAGGGGCTGGCGCGCCCCTTCACAGAGCTCCTTCCTCCCAGAGCTGCTCCGACTGTCCCCTGAACTCTCAATTAAAATGCAAGCACCGTGGGGGCAGGGAGCCTTCGCAGAAGACAGGTGCCAACACCTGGGATTATGTTATCAGACGTTTCCCCACCTTGACAGGTGCAGGCCCTGAGCCCTGGACTGGGAGCTACCTGAGCAGGCAGGAGGCTGTCTGAGCTGGGCCGCTGCTGCCTCCTCTGGGCTCCAGCTGGGCCGTCCCCACCCCTGGGGCCCCTCACAGTGTTGGGGCTGTCCTGCGACTGCCTAGCTGAGACATATGATGACAGCTCTCCCTCCTGGTCCCCAGGAAGGGGCTGGGCAACTCCCACACAACGCAGCCAGCAGTGGCCTTGTCTCCCTGTCACCCTGTCCTTGCCAGTCCCGGGAAGGTCAGACTTCTGCTCCCCCCCAACAGAGAGCCTGGTGTTTGGGTGCCAAGGAGCCTTGTGAAATGCTTTTACTGTTCTGAGTCAAACTGGGGGCCAGGAGCAAGGCTCCGATGCTCCCATAAGGGGCAGGGCTTGGGAGGAAGGGCGGCGCTGCTCTCCCAGGGAACAGGGGTGTTCCAAGCCTGCAGACCTGGGTTCTGGGCCCAGCTCCTGCAGTCATCAGCGCTGCGACCCCAGGCAAGCTGCTCACCCTCTTGAGCCCCAACAAGCTTCGGTTTCCTCATCTGCACAGTAGAGACAACACCTACTTTATGGAGTCTGGTGAGGATTACGCAGTGCAGGCAAAGTGCCTGCTCAGCACCTGGCATGCAGCTGGCATTTAATAAATGCCTTATTAAGCTGCTTTTATTCTCCTGGAGCCAAGCCGTGGGCCACGACTTCAGTGCATGAAGGTGGGGGCCTGACCAAAAAGATGTGGGGTTAATCAGGCGTCATCAAACCTGGGTTCAAGTCCCCTTCTGCTGTGTGGCCTTGGGCAGAAACTTAACTTCTCTGGGTCTCTGTCCCCAAGCCCTGGCCTGGCAGGCACAGATCTGGGTTGTAGTCTAGCCTTCACCACTGACACCTCATCCTCACTCAATTTCCTCTACTGTAAAAGGGGGAAGGTATGGTTCGTCGCTGCCCCCGGGGCCTTCCCCTAGGCTGTCATGGGGGTGGGGGGCTCAGCATCTGCTGGGAGCACAGTGTGCTGGAACATCTGACCCATTTCTGGCTAAGCAGTCCTGACCCAGCCCCCTCCCGACCCAGCCAGGCCTCACCCCTCTGTAAGGCTGCAGCCTAGCGAGGCCAGGGCTGGTCCCTCCCGGGCGTGATCCTACAGGCCCAGCCTGTGGTATGCAGTTGGAAGCCCACAGCAGGTTTTTTTCCCCAGATAAATCACTGGCTCCTGGGGGCTCAGGGAAGAGTGGGCAGATGACCTTCTACCTTTGGAGTTGGAGCCCACTGAGGCTAGAGGGCAGCTCAGAGAGTGCACAGGCAGGGACCCACCTGTCTCCTGTCTCAGAGGAAACAGCACGGTGTCAGGGCGGAAGGCAGCCCTAACAGTCTTCAGTGCCTGTACCCATTTTACAGATGGGATGGCCGGGGCTCAGAGAGGAGCTGGGGCTTGTCCCGGGTCACAGAGCCAGGCAGAGGCAGAGCACTCCTGGCTCCCGGTGCTGTCACTCCATTGCAGTCTTTTGGGAAGAGGGGGGTCCGGCGGTAGTCCTGACGGGAACACAGCCACTCCCCAGCGGCCAAGTTGGCGCGGCTGAGTGCGTGCTGTGTCATTTCCCTGCCCCAGGGTCTGCCTGTCATGCTGACGACAGGGCAGGTGAGTGAGGAGGTGGAAGCTGAGCTGCCCTGATTCAGTCCCAGCAGTACCAGCCCAGATACCCCCAGTAGAAAGTGGGCCAGTGCACAGCCAGTTAGCCAGAACAGAGGGATCCCCATTCCAGGCCAGGGGCTGGGGCCCTCCCTGCACTGGCTCCAGGTGAGAAGAGGAGGCGGGGCAAAGGGAGGTGATTCATGGGGAGAAATAAGGCGGGACAGCTCCCTGCGGGCAGGCAGGCAAAGCACCCTGTCAGCAGTGTCAGTATCCGTCGCTGTCCCAGCTCTGCCTCGGTGAGCCTGGGAAGCAGCCCACGCGGGGGAGATGAGGATTGCAGGTCGCCGGGACAAGCTGCACCTCCCAAGCCCTGTGTGTCAGTCTGTCTGCCAGGGCCAGGGCACGATGGGCAGGGGGGGAGCCGTTCTAGAGTCTGAGGGCAACACAGGCTGCCCCCACCCCTCCACCCAAGAACTTGCCAGGTGACCTTGGGCAGGGACTAACCAGTCCGGCCTCAGTTTCTACATCTGAAAATGGGGTAGATAACACTACCTGAGATTACAAAGTGCCTTGCACGCCATAAACAGTAGCTATTGTTATTACGGCCTGCCCACACACACGCCATTTGGCCCCAGGCCCCAGGATGGAGGGGGCAGGGACACACTTGGCCCCAGTGCTGTGGTGTCAGTAACAAATCCCTGTCCTTCTCCGAGCCTCAGTGTCCCTGTCTGTAAGATGAGGGGCTTGGCTTCCATCACCCCTGAACCGCAAGGACCCTGCTGTCTGAGTGGGGGTGGCCTCGGCAGTGAGCACCCAGCCACGTCCTGAGGGGTACAAAGGCAGTGCACAGCACCTACCTGTGGGCTGCAGGAAACCGCCCACGGTGGTGCCACACAGACAGACCAGGGCCTCTTCCTGGCTATGTCACTTTAGACGGTGACACCAACAACCACCGTGTCGGGCTTTTGTGGGAAGCAAATGGAGCTATGGGGGCCCGTAGACCTGCACGGAGTGGCTGGATCTCAGCTGCAGCCATAGAGACGTGGGGAGGAAGCAGGGGTCGGCAGGAAAGGCCCTGAGTAACCAGCTTGCCCCGGGCACCACTACCTGGCCCCATCACTGGGCTGGCCATCTGTCTTTCTGTCTTCGGGAGATTAGACCCTCTGCTATTCCCACGCTAAGCTGGAAAACGGTGTCTGCCTCCTTTCTGCTGCCGGTGGGAAGGAGGAGGGGACCCGGGCACAGCAGGTCAAGCCCACTTCTCCAGGGCCTCAGTTTCCCCATGTTTAAGATGGGTATGGAGAATGGGTAATGGAATCCCAGCAGGCCCTATCAGGGGACTGGGTTCTGTGACTTCAAGCCAAGGCCACCCCCACCAGGCACTGATGTCAGCAGCACCTTCCTACCCATGGCAGGTGTGGGGCAGGTTATCCAGCCTGAAAACTATGAAGGCCCCTTCCTCCTCCCTTGCCTCCTCCTCTTCCTCCAACTCCTTCCTCACTCCTGTCACCCAATATTCCATCTTCACAATAGTCAGAGGCGCAGCTTTTATCCTCACCACCCCCATTTTACAGACCAGAAACCTGAAGCCCCAAAGCTGCCTGGGGTCAGCCAGCGAGTCAGGAGTGGGCAGGCTGACAGCCAGGCTCCCTGACAGGGCTATCCGACTCAGTCAGCCCCCTCATGGGGATGGCACTCCACCTTTCTGGAAACCTGAGCTGTGGCCACCTCGTCAGCTCCTGACCCACTTCTGGTTTCTCTGCCCAAGAGCTCCGCCAGGCCCTATCAGCCAGGATGGTCCCCAAAGCCAGCATTCTGGTCTTGTGCAATTAGCTGTCCCACTCTGGGATTGAAACAGTGAAGAGGGGGCTAGACACCTCGTCCCACAATCCAAGGCCAGACCTGGTTTCAGAATCCCTCTCAACACAGCTCTCTATTGTACAGACAACAAAGGCTTGGTGGGGCTCAGAGAGGGTGAAACAGTAGGCTTCGTCAAACATGTCAGAATGTGCTTTAAAATCACAAAAAGGCGCTCCCACTCAGCAGGAAGAAGCTCCCACTCACGGTCATGGCTGTCCAGCAATGACCTGGCCATCTCTGCAAGTGGCAAGCACCCCTTCCCAAAATATGTGTCAGCGTGTTAGCCGAGAATGGCCACCCACAGCCAGGATACTGCACAGCCCGACAGGGACAGAGAGCTCTAAACAAGACTTAAGGTCCCTTCTGGTAGCAAAATTCAACCCAGGTGGACAACCCGCAGCTGGACTCACTCCATTTCCACTGCTGAGGGCCACACCACCCCCATCCACATATCCCAGCCTGGAAAGATCCTGCCGTTGCAAAACACACAAACAGGCTCAGAGAGGGTGAGCAACTCACTCTCAGTCACCCAGCAGTTAGATTTGAACTTGGACATTCGGACCTGCTTCAGACGTACTTAAGCTGCTTCGCAATCTCCATGCCTATGCCCCCCCACAGTAACAAAAACTCTCCCCACCAGAGAGCTCATGGTGTGTATGAGAGCCTCCTGCTTCTCAGTGAATCAGAGGCATCCCAGGGACAGTGGCTCCTCCTGCCCCACCCCATCACAGCGCCGCCTTCTGGGGAACCTGCTCACCAAGTCTGGGGAAATCAGAAACGCCTCACAACAATGCATGAGGGCCCTTTGAGATGGGGCAGCCCAACGTCACCTGGTAGAGGACCTAGGCACTCTACTCTTTGCAAAGAAACAGAGGCACCCCATGAAGGTGGGGAGGAAACCTTCTCCTGGGAGGTAGCCAGGGAAGCAGCAGGGACCCACAGGGGACTATCTTGGGATCCCCTTATTGGGCTCTTGAGTGAGGCCCACTGGTCCAGCCACCTCTCCAGGAAGTCCCGCCCATGGCCCCTCACCTTCTGGGCCTGGCTGATCATCTTGCGAACCACCTCTTTGATGTGCGGCTGCCCATCGATGGGGGGCTGCATGTAGACGCTGGCCCGGGTCACACCGCGGTAGGCAATGGTGTCGGGCCAGCCCAGGTCCAGCTGTGGGATGGAGCGGTCCGACTTCTGGGGCCAGTACTCTAGCGAGGGCAATGGCTCGGCCTCGGTGGGGGCCCCACCTGCCCCGCTGGCTTCCTCGCCGTCCCCGACCCCATTGTCCCCGACCCCATTGTCCGCGGGCCCCTGGGAGCGGCCCGAGGCCCGAGGGTCCTCTGAGCCTGGGTCGTACACCTCGATGGTCTCCAGGATGCGCTTGAGCTCCAGCTCCGAGAGGAAGTCGCGGATGTTCTCCCGCTTCAGCACCTCATAGAAGGCCTCGGGTCCGCGGGCCACCAGGGCTTCCAGCGCCAGCCGCTGCTCCTCGCTGTAGAAGAACTCGGGCTTGGACTCGCTGGAGCGCCAGTTCACATGGCTGTCGTCCAGACACTGCACCTGGGAGAAGGCCATGGTGCCACCTGCCCGGGCACTTCTGCGGGGGCTGAGTGGGTGACAACGCTCGGCAAGGTCGAGATCCTAATTCCGCCCGGCTGGGTCTGCTCCTGTGCCCGGCAGCGACCTGTGGGAAAGGCCTGACGAACGCGGGGCTCAGGTCAGAGGGCGGACCGGGCGGGGAGGGGCGACAGGGAAGGGTGGGGCCGCGGGAAGGAGCGGGCTGGGACGGGCGACAGCGGGGGGTCGGGACAGGGGTGAGGGGCCGGTGGGCCACACCCCGGGGCTCAGGGTGCATGTATGTGTAGGGGGCAGGGGACCCCACATCCCGGAGGTCCAGGTCTGCCCGAAGTCCTCGGCACCTTCTGGGGAAAACCGGGCCAAGCGGGAACTCCCCAAAGTTCCCACGAGCGGGAGGCGGGAGCGGG